AGGGTCGACACATTTATTTACTTAATGATTGGTAATTCAGGAGAAAATTATTTCATCATTGTCGTATATTATTGATGTGTAATTGTAATATAACAATAATTTCACAAATTAAATTAAGATTTGACATATATCGCCTAAGAAATTTTGCCTACCAAATCAAATGCTGAAACTGTGAACTCATTTACATAAGTGAAACGAGCCAAAATCTGAACAAACTCCTCGATTAATACAAAAATAATTTAGATAAACAGTAAAATATTCAAAGTCATCATAACAGAACACTACAATAATTTAAATTATAGATTTTATCCAAAAATAAAAATTAGAAATACTATATTAGGACTAGGACAAAAATACTTCCTATAATGCAGTTTATAGAAACCGTGATTCCGATTGTGTTTAAATAGAGTAGGAGTCCTTTAGGTCAGCACCCAACAGTCCGGAAAGCCCGATAGTCCGGCATGTTTTTCGTTTTTTTTTTTCAGATAAAAACTACAAACGATCGAGGGCTTTTAGTACGTTTTGAGGGTGATTCGGAATCATTCGGAAGGACTTGCTTTTGCTCAGTAATCTTGTGTCCATGGTAAATTCCGTTTTGTCTATGTTTATGAACAAAGTATGTTGTACGAAATACGTAGTCCCTAAATCGGACTAGATATCATCAAATTTTTGTTTTTTGTAAAAATAACAAAAATGGTTAAATATGTAAATAATGGTTAAAAATATATATTATATATTGTAAAAAATGTAAAATAAGCTTATAGGTTAAGCTAATAACTATAATATTAATAGAATAATTATTATTGTCTGAATTTTGAGAAGTAGATAATATAGGGGTCGGTCCCGAGCAAGCCTGATTCAAGGACTATATATATATATATATATATATATATATATATATATATATATATATATATATAAATTCCATATTATATTTCAGTCAGTGTACATAACGGCGAGTCAATGCCAGTACAATGCCGTTGACAGAATTTTCAGTTATGTTTCGCGTACGTGGTTAAACAAAGACCAACATGCGTAATTATAAATAATAACATTTATTTAGAGAATATAATAGAGAATTTTACCTACATTGTTAGTATTAGAACGGTACTCCGAGAACTGAAAATCTGCCAATGAAATTTGAATTTTCAAAATTGATATCACTACTGCATGATATCAAGTCGTTCGGACTGCAGATTTGACCCAGTAACTTCTAATTGATTCTATGACATTTGAAATTATTACATTGGAGGTGCTGCCCATCTAAAATATTTTCTAGTACAATTATCCTTATCATTTGATACTTTGATCGTTGTATAATCCATACTACCAATTTACTTCCAATAAACGTAATCGATAACGGCGATAAAATAGCCATTATTTTCAAGAAACTGTCGTAATATACGCCAATGATGATAAAGGAGAATTTAATATCGTATAAAGCGTCATAAAATATGAATGTAATTATGATTATTATTTTAAATAAAATATTTTTGGAATTATAAACATTTTCTACAGATGTGCAGTGTCTCAGTTGAAATTTTCGCGATATTTATGACACTTTAATCATGAAAGTGCCGACTACGTATTTGCCGTTAGAAAAAACACTTTTGTGACAAATCAACAATAGAAATTTGGGATTGTTTGTTCTGAGATATTTTTTACATTGATGCAAAAATAAATATTAAGGTATCACAAGAATTAAGTTCTAAGCAATCTCAGAAAACTTATGGCATCACGCCTTGAGGCAAATTGCTGAAACTTTCCGTGGAAATGAACCTCATTTAGAGAAATAAAGTAATTGCTGATTAATAAATTCTATAATATTTGTTCACATAGTGGATTATGTTAAAGAACGCCTAAACAAATATTGTTTTGGCAACTTTACTCATCATGTAATTGTGTTTGAAGAACTTCATGTAATTAAAATTAACATACATTCATTGACTGCTTGTATTTTTTTTACTTTTCCGCTGGCGATATAATCTCATTCTTTGAACAGCTGTAATATCTGCCTTGACTAAAAAATATTTTCTATTTTAATAACTTCAAAAATTTATAGAAACTACGAATAATAAAGAAATAATACTTTAAATCAATAAAATTAAGTTTAGTACACGGCACAAATTTTTAATTTGGTTATTATTTTCAAGGAACAGGGTATATAATATTATTCTGATTCAGACATTTTTCATTAAATCAAGATTTGTACTACGATGTAACTTAAAAATGTTTATTATTGTTGGCGATTTTCTTGTTGATATCGGTACGCATACAACGACACATCTCTATTCACATACACGACGAATCAATCACAATCGACCCGTATTGAAATGATCTCATCGAGAGCGAAGGACGTACAGTTCTTGGCGTAACGCTATTTTCGTTGCATTTGTACGGATTTACACCTAAGTCGCGCCTAAGAAGTAGAAGTTTTACTTCAAAAATATTATATAAAAAATAACTGATATTGTAGAAAAACAGCAAAATTTTCAAGACAAAATTTAATTTTAATCATCAAGTGCCAGCACAAGATTAGATGTCTTTTTTTCGCCGGACCTTCAGCGTACGACTCAATATATATTTTTTGCGACATGTATATGTATGTTTTATTTTTATAATATACAATGTAGTTAAATTATCTATGTACATATATGTATATACAAAATCCCTGTTGTGTTCAGCGAACCTAAACGCCGCGATTCAGTCACCGCGCCGTTGCGTTACAGCAGCCTAGAAAATTGTTCTGAACGCGGTTGTGAAGAAAAAAAAATATATATTCACGAATAACACGTTCGACGTTATTAATTTACCTAAATAGATGTTAAAATGACACTGAAGAGATGACATGATTTTTTTGCAAAATTTACGTCAAGATTGTTATGCGAAAGCAGGGCTGAGTGTTTTTTTTTCAAAGTCTAGTAATTTTGATGAAAAGTGATAAGAAAGTAAAATTAGGAACTTGGGAAAATGACATATTTTCATTTGAAAGTTTTGCGGTTTTGAAAAATTTATATATATGATATGTTAATCAGTATGTGGAATAATAAATTAATGATTTTAGTTGTCCTTCTAATTAATTTTATCATTTAAACGAGGACACTACAATCGATCAATGATCGATCACAAATTACTACTAATTACTCTAATTAAAGATATTAGCTATTGTTTCTTTAAATGATATATAACAGACCATAAAAATAAGTGGCATCAGAGAAAGAGACTGCGTTTGACATTAGAGAACAAAACACAATAATATCAAAGTTGGTAGTTAATTTTTATTAGACTTCCTATAAATATTGAATGGTAATAAGTATATTAAAGATCCTTTCCGAAACCTTCAGAGAAAGCGAAATCTCTGGGAAAACACTATATGGTCCTTTCCTTAATATGAATATTTTCTAATCTATTTGCACCCAGGCTCAAATTCTTCCAAATTGATAAAAATAAATCTCTGAAAGTTTTAGCTCTTAATATTAACTTTAAGATAGTCCACACTCCAACCAAAGTTTATATGAACTCATTGACAATTTTTTCTTTAATTTTCTCATCAGTACTTCTGTACTTAGTTCTTGCATGTTGCCCAAATCAACACATTTTGTTATTTTTCTCCGAATGTCTAATATCTATCTATAGTATTTTTTTTATAATTGATGCATTTTTTAACAATTTGATCATGTATTTCTCAGAAAAAGCAATATGCAAATTGTATGAGGCATACAAAATTGCCAAGTGCGAGGTGAACTCGTGCACGAAGGTTGCATATACATAGTTTTTATCACTTTTACTTGCAGTAAGAAAATGATTCAATGAAACTTGTGGCAAAAAAGATAGTTTTAAAAGTTTTTTTAGTGGAAACACTTTGCAGGTGCATAGTATCTATAATATTTATTTTATTTTTCAATTATTCTAATATTTTTTATTTTTTTTGCAGTTGCACATTCAATTCGACGACGATACAAGTACTTACGAATATCCTTCGGAAGCTTCACTGTTAGAAGACACAGAAGTCTCTTCTCCAGTCAGCAATTCCTCTCCAGGACTCATTGGTAAATGAAAAAAAATATACAATTTATAGTAACATAAGGAAAATATAGATAAAATTAAGTTTGCAAGAGAAGAGATAAATCTACTAATTATATATTAGTCCCAATACATCAAAGTTGATAGAAGAATCAAAGATAAAAATAATCTTAACAGAATATATAACCTTTGCATTTTTTTAAAATAGTAATCAGAATATATATAAGCGATTGGGGTCTACTTTAGCTCAAAATATTTGAATTAGTATTAACAAGAGTCCTAATTCCTCAATCTATCATTTTTCAAGGTAACTTTTTATACTTTAGTTCAATAACTCTTAATCTGACCATTTTTCAGACGGTCTCGAAGAATGAACAAAAATCTCATTTATTGTTGTTATTGAAAATATCAGAAATGCAATTAGTGTATTTACCCGAGAATTTTTCCTTATCATTTTATATACACCTCGCCAAGTCGAAATTATAATATACAACAACCAGATTTCTAATCTACTCAAAATATTTCTTCAATGCGTCAAGCGAATTCTCCAATTTATAATATTTATAAAGCTATATTCGCTGAAAATATATTTATCGCAACGAGAAAAATGTTATCTGAATCAAAATATTTTCGGAATTATTATAATTCTCATTGTTTAGCAAAAAACTTAATCATCGGTTGTTATTTTATTCTAATGCCAGCAATTTTATCGCGGGAAATAGTTTATAAATATTATTGTAGGGAAATACAGACTGAACCATATTATGCGCTTTAAATCAAATTAATTTTAATTTAATTATTCTTCTGAGTGGTTTTTGAGATAATAAATTTGTTATCGACACGTATTAGTTTTATATTGGCTGATAGGCAATTTGAAAACAGAAATATGTTTGTCACGGATAATATATTATGCCGGTTTTTGTGAACTGACAAACAAGTTTTTTTGAACAGCTATCAGAACTGAAGACTTATCATTATTTAATAAATTTATTATTAGAATTATATAATTTAAATTTGAACATATTTTATATCTATTTTTTTTTCGAAAACGGCTGGACCGATTTCAAACATTTGTCATTCGATGTATCTCGATGAGGACTATTGTTAGTCAGTTTTGTGCGACGATCAGCCAAGCCGTTTCTTTGTAAATAACAGAAAAGTGAAATTTTTTTTCCACGTTTTAGCCCGCAGTTCTGAAAAGATTTTGCAAATTCAAAGACCGTTCGAAAAATATTGGTTGGGAATCGTGCTGATGAGATTTTGGTAGAGATCGGGCCGTTTTCTTGTAATAGTGTTAAAAAAATTTTTTTTGACGATTATTATTATTATTTTTTGACGATAGATACCATAGTCTTCTGGGTCATACTAAAAGATTACGGCCTTACGACAACTCGTTTAGCTTTAAAAATTCGTCAAAGTTTGCAAAAATTAGTATCGTTTTTTCGGCATTTGTCAAAATTAGACCTTTCATCGACGATTGCTCAAAAACGCCTGAACCGATTTCAGAAATTTAAAAACCATTTGATCTGCCTCAATGAGGACTATTGCTTGTCAGTCCTGTGCGAAGATCGGCCGAGCCGTTTCTTCGCAATTTGGAAAAAAGTGTTAAACTTTGTCTACATTTAGGCTCATATACTACCGAATCGATTTTAAAAAATCAAAAACTGTTCGAAAGATATTAGTTGGGCATATTAGTTTTCGGTGAAAATCAACCGAGCCGTTTTCTTCTAATTAACTGTTGAAAAAAAAATTTGAGCCGATTTTTATGGAACTTTTTTTGGCGATATATTGCATGGTCTTATAGAACTTACTGAATTATTACGTCCTTACGACAAGTAGTTTAATTTTAAAAATTTATCAAAGTTAAAGAAAATTGTTTTGTTTTGACGTTTGTTAAAATTAAAATTAGACGATTTACTTGGTATAACGATAAAGTATCTGGTCTATAATGAAAATGAATATTAAAGTCCTACGGAAACTGGTTCAATTATAAAAATTGTTGATTTTTGAAAATTTGCTTTTAGAAAATATTCCGAGTTAACGTGTTGGTTCGTTTTCAAATATGTGTAATAAATCCACTCGGAATACTTTTAATCACTCATAAATTAATTTATTTTCTATTGATTAAGTCGATTATTTACACATATCGAGAAGTTCATGTAACTTGCCTTAAGGCTAAATACCAATACCAACTAGTTATTATTAGAAATATTCGAATAACTATATATTTTTAGTTCGAACATATTTACAAAATTAACAATATCATTACTGCTTGATATCAGGCTGGCCGAAGTAGATGAACCTATAACTCAACATTTGTCCTATATACAATATCAGGCTGGCCAATGTGGCTGCGACGTCAAAGCTTGTGAAATAAATCATACCGAAGTTATTACACTAACGCGACTTACTTAGTGATTGACGGATATACTCGTCATGACTCGATTCTAAGGAGTCACAGCTGGCTAATTGATCTTGCTCCAAATCTAATAATAATAAGTTACTTACTTCATTGCTAATCCTTTACTATTTCTTAGGAAGCGTCAACCTAGCCAGCTACACCCCCGTAAAATCCGGCCTACACACATCAGGCAGTACCTTCGAGCTAGGCGTCACCAGAACCTCTCCAACGGTCACCGACGGCGGCGGAGGAGGCCCCAAAGGCGACTCGGCCTCAATAAACTCTCCCAATTCGCCCACTTCGACAGCCACAGTCCTCTCCATCGAAGGCGCCGAAGAAATGGGCGAAGGCTGCCTGAGACCTGCTTCGGATGACCAGACTGTTGCATGGAGCCAGGAGCAAGACGCCACGGATTTGTTGTTCTGAGGGTAATAGAACCTGCTGAGGAGGTTTCTTTAGGTTTTATAATGTATTTGTATGTATATTCCATAGTTGGTAATGTGATGTATTTTAAGGCGATGAGAAGCGGATAAAAGACATTTGAATAATATCAATATAAAGTATATTGTTAGGATAATGATGTATTTACACTTGAGGAAGAAAAATGGATATCTAGTTGACCGATTTGGATCCAGAAATTAGAAAAAGATGTTGAGGTATTTAAAACTGTAGGAATGCTTAATGAAAATGTACTGAGTATAATAATATTATTACTATGCGATATAAAGAAGAGACGATATTCCAAATGGACTTCAATAATTTCACTAAACTGATATAAATGAGGTCAAAAAATACATTATTATACAGGGCGCCAATTCTGCGATAAAATAAAAATGTTATGCCAACGCTATGTTATAGGTCTATCTTCGTATAAATTTGTAATAAATTGTCAAAAATCTCTGTATTTGCTGTGCGATCAGGCATTTTACTCATAAAACCTTACTTTACGTATGTAAAAAAATACGAAAATTAATTTTGAATATCTAGTTAGGAATCGTTCAAGTATTACGTATGCAGATTTATTACAATTATTCACCCCCCCATCCCCCTTGCCAGCAAAAGTAAGCAAAGCTGTTACCCCCTATCCCCATGCTTACGTAAACATTTTGCAATTAATGTAAAAAAATAAAAATACTACCTATGACGTAATCATCATCCAGACTCCCCTGCCCCCCATGTCAACCCAAAATAAGCAAATTAACAACCCCCCGCCCCCCTATAGTGCTTACGTAATACTTGAACGGTCCCTTAAGACATTAAGCATGCGATGACATAACTAAAGGAAGTAGTATAGAAATTTAATCGACCAAGGTTTTTTCCACCAAGTAATGTATCTCGTTGCAATTATGCCAAATTATTACAGTTATTGGTTTTAAAGACTGGCGTTTTGGTCTAAGATTTATTTAGAAGCCCAAAAATATCCAGATTTGTCCTTTATCCAGCCATGTGTGTGTGGTTTAATTAATTTGTTATAAGGGTAACTAACATGTTTTTTTTGAGTAATCTGATAATTACTAGAAAGATGCCCTTTTTATGAAATTCTTATTTCAAGTTTGTGCGTTTTGTAGGTTAAGTTTTATGTGTAAAACGCCTGATTGCACAGCAAATACATAGCTTTTTGACAATTTATTACAAATTCATACAAAGATGCACCCGTAACATAGCTTTAACTTATTTATTTTTTTATTCGAAACTTTATTTGCATTCTTCTTTTCATTCAAGTTCACAGTATTTTCAGACTTGAACGCTGAAAGTATTTCTGTTTTGCCACCCACAATGAATATTTCATTCTAAAAATAATGAAGAAAATAATCTCAATATTCATAGAAATTCTAGTGATTACATCACAATAAATGTAAAATACCTTTTCATCAAAGAATGAACTGCAAATAATTTGCTTGTTATCAGGAAATGATACTTTTCTTTCCCAATAACAACAAACCTTCTAAACATTCTCTAAAGTAATTAAAAAGCATAGTTAACGATAGAAAATTTAATAATGCTTAATAACATCATCAAATTAATATTTATTAAATTTGAATATTTTATCAAAAAACAAACATGATTCACACCTTCTTGTTTTAACATATTTACAACATTTTGAAAATGATTCATTTGTATGAAATACATAAATAGACAAAAATTACTTTTCTATAAGGTATGCCTTACCCATTCCCAGCATTAGATCCGACTGTAACCATCACATCAGAAAATACACCCGTAACATAGCGTTACCATAACATTTCTAATCTATCAGAGAATTGGCACCAATATTTTCTTTTTTGAATGCGAAAATTTATCATGTTTTTAGAATACAACTAACTACTGGTAGTCACTGACCATTTCTTCACAATTCAAATATAAGGAAGACTATTCATATAACTATCAGCCTAGATAGGATATCGAAAAGGTTTTTCTGGTGAACATAGAAATTTATTTATGAAAATCATAGAAATATGCAAATAATTGCCTTTATACAATTTTAATATAGGATTAATCAGTATTTTGAGATATTGCCTATTATTCAATAATATTAAGAAAACAATCTTGTCGTCGTTACATTCCATTTTGCATTTACTTTAGAACTAATTTTTAATTCCAGAAATTCAGATGTTTAAAGTTTGTCATTCCATAGCACTGCAGTTAAAAAAATTGTATATATATAAATATATATATATATATATATATATATATATAAATATATATATATATATATCAATAAAGATTGCCAACTTTCTGGACATTTGTGATAAATTTACGGAGAGTAAAATATGCTAATATTTTACACAGAAATGTAGTCCAAGTATTTGCTAATAAGTATTATCTTTACTTATAACTACACTGCCTATCCAAATTGCTAAAAAAATCTGGCTTTTTTAATCAAAGCCGATGGGTGGCCTTTTTATTGAATTAGAATATGAAAATAAATTTTGAATTTCTAGTTAAGACATTAAGCATTTGATGACATAATTAAAGGAAGTAGTGTAGAAATTTAATCGACCAAGGTTTTTTCCATCAAGTAATGTATCTCGTTACAATTATGCCAAATTATTACAATTATTGGTTTTTACCATTAAAAGACTGGCGTAGTGGTCTAAAATTTTAGTGCCCTAAAAATATCCAGATTTGTCCTTTATCCAGCCATGTGTGTGTGGTTTAATTAATTAGTTATAAGTGTAACTAACATGTTTTTGTTTTTGAGTAATCTGATAATTACTCATTTAATTTTAAACAATTTGCCGTACTTAAATATACATTCCTCTGTACTTTGATTTCTATTATTGTTTTATGCAATTCTGTTTGTAAAGTGATCCAGTTCTTGTGTTGTATATTTTTCATTTATTTATTGTTAGTTGATAAGTTGATATTTATAGAATATTTTAGGTGTAAGTTTTCTGAAAATTGTTTTATAAAACGGGAACATTTGCCCGAATTTGTCGCATTTGATGTGGTGTGAAATATTTTTTTACAATTAAAAGTAGCGCTGTACTGTTGTTGATTACATCACGAATTTTTGTTAAAAATTGTAATAAATTTGAATGATTTTCATACTTATAATTTTTCTGTCATGGGGAGTATTTTCAAAACAATTGTTTTTTACCCTGTTTTAGTGTTTTCGCACTTAATAGAAGATCTACTTTGCCCAAATGCAATACCCTTGTTGAAAATATTTTATATACGCGGATATTTTGTTTTTATTCCATTTATTTAAATTAATCAGGTTTATCTTATCTACATTATAAAAAATTAAAATTGAGGTAATGGCAAAGCGGCCTTGTTTGTGAACTATTTATAATTTTTTTTATCAATATATAAGTAATGCATAATTCTATAACAATTTTTTTTTACTCAGGTTTCTATCCAATTTTCCAACTAAAAAACTATGTTTTTTTTTCATACTTAGTCTGAAGACCTTTCGAGTTTTCATTTAACTTCTTTTCAGTTTAAATATATTCAAATTTATTTTTGAAAAAAATATACACTATTATAATGTTATACTACAACCATTTGTTAAATTTAATCTTATAGTTGTTAATAATTAATTAAAGACTGAAAACGTCTGTAAGATATATTAAAAATTGATTAAAACGCCTTTATTAATTTTTTTAATCGTGTGATCTTTAGAGGGATTTTTCTGAATATTTTATATCACTTTTTGTGTAAGAAAGACTGGTTGTTTTTGTCAATTGTAATAGTAAAATTACGTTGGTTGCCCATTAGGCGAAAAAAATTATAATAATTGTATTTTTATAAAAAATATTGAGATTTTGTTATATATGTTCAATTCTCCACAGTCATCAATGTCTACATTTTTTACTCGAAAGGTTTTTTATCTATAAATATTTATAATGCTACTTTTAATTGTTTTTTATTTAATGTGATTAATCAAACTTTACTTGTGTTTTTCAGTTTTCGACTTTTTATTGTGCTACATCTTAAAACAAGTACTCTAAATATTATATCTGGCTTCAAATTATTGTAACACGAATAATATTTTTATCTTGGGAAACTAAAATATTAAATCTGAGAAAATGTGACATTCATTGATTTTTTTTTAACTAACCAAACCACTTTATAAATGCTTATTATATATTTAAGAGCTAAAATGTATTGCATTGACTGATATAAACACCATTTTTTAAATACATTTTAGATACTACTAGAAAAGTAAAATTCTATAAGATTAGATGATATAAATTTGGCGAATCAAATATTAGGAGCAGTTTATACGATATTTTATGAAATTGCATTTTATGAAAGCCTTTTCTTTAATATAATGAAGATTTTTTATGCTGTCCAATAAATGAATATTTGTGAAAAACTTTACATTGATGTTAAGTTAAAGTGTTCTTTGCTTTTCACCAATTGCTATCTCAATTACTGGTTGATTTGAAATTTATTTTAAATATTTTAGAATGTTTCAATAGTTCAGAAACTAATTTCATTTAATATATTAATGATGGCCTTATCTCACACCTGTTAAATTTTTTTCAGTCAAGGACCAGAAATTTTTTGAACTCGGACTTTCAATCTAGTTATCGTTTAATTTTATAAAATAGGTCTTTTAAAATAGTAACTGCCAAACACCAAGTAGAATTGTCAATAATTAAAAATTAAAATTTTGTACCACTAGATATATATTTTATACATTCCTTTTCTGTAACATAGCTTATCTTGCTTAATAAGGTTTTTTATTGTTAGATTTTTAAGTTTATAAATATAAATATTGTAATAATGATAATGGTCACATCACTGTGTATATATATATAAATATTAAACTATTTAATAAAAATAATAATAAAAAGAATAAATGTTGATATTTAACAATTACGAGGCTGTTTTAATAATTTGCTGCAGGATAAGTTCACTACTAATTAATAAAATTTGATATTGCTGAATTTAATAAAATAAGTGCGAAATATTTAAAAAAATCTTTATACAAAAACTAATAAAATTAATATGTATTTTGTTATTTTTTACGTTACAGTTAATTTTGTTTATATTAAAACATTAATGTTTTGCTTGATCGAGTTAAAAGCGAAAATAAAATTTATTGACAAATTGTAAACTTAAATTTTATTTTTTATTTATTTATTTAATGCTTATTTTTTAAATCTATATGCGAAAAAACATCATAATGTATGTATGTATCTCTGATTCAAGTATGTTTATTAAATCTAAATTTTTACATATAATATATGCAAAAAAAAAATTACATTTGCAATATTATAAAAACAATACAAATTAATTGCATTAGCAATTATATATACAAAATTCTTTTTTATATTATTTATAATTTAAGATTTTTATAAATAAATATTTAAAAAATAAATAATAAATTAATAATAATAAATAATAAATTAAAAAATAAATAAATAAAAAATAAATTTAATTTGAAGTCTTATAAGTTTCACTTTCAATATATAATAGGAAACATAATTTAAATTTATAAAAATAAAAAAATTAGCTAAATTGTGTTATAAAAATTATTATTAATTATAAAAGATTGTGCTGCTGTTTTATAATTAAATTGATTGAATAATTCTTAATACTTAATACTACTTAATACTTAAGT